CGCCGGCGTCAACAGGGAGAGGGATAGGTTGGTGGAGCAGTTCCGAGAGGTGAGTGGAGTAGGCTATTGCTGTCCGTTGTGATCGCAGCCTAGTGACGTCAAGCTTTCGTTTCGTAATGGGGCGTATGTTTTTCGCTCGGCATAGCCGCATGCGTATCTTGGCTGCAACAAGATAGTGGTCTGAGTCAATGTTGACTCCACGAAACGTACGCACGTCCATCACGCTTGAGGCATGCCTTCGGTCTATCACAACGTGATCAATCTGGTTGCGCGTCTTTTGATCAGGGGACAGCCATGTGGCCTTGTGGATGTCGAGGTGCCGAAATCTGGTGCTACTCACTACCATGTTTCGCGCCGCGGCGAAGTCAATCAGCCTGAGACCGTTGTTCGAGGTAGTCTCATGGAGGCTGAATTGACCGACGGTGGGGTTAAAGATGCGTTCGCGCCCGACCTTTGCGTTGAAGTCCCCGAGGATAATCTTCACGTCGTGGTCTGTGCAGCTGTCGTATGTGTCCTCGAGTCTCGCGTAGAATGCATCCTTAACAGCATCGTCCTTCTCCTCCGTCGGGGCGTGCGCGCAAATTATGCTTAGATTGAAAAACCTAGCTTTGACGCGGATTGTAGCCAGTCGTTCACTCACTGGGGTGAAGTTGGAGACGTGGTGGCGAAGTCTCGGGCTTACTACAAATCCGCATCCAAATTCGCGCCTCTCCGCATGGCAGCTGCAGTAGATATCGCAGTTTGCTCGCTTGGAGCAACCTTGTCCTGTCCATCTCATTTCCTGGATGGCGGTAATGTCAGTCTTTAATTTTTCGAGGGCATCCGCCAGTTGGATAGAGGCACCTTCCCAATTAAGGGTTCGGACATTCCAGGTGCATATCCTTAAATCGTAGTCCTTTTTCGTTTTGCGGTGGTCGTCAACATAAGGGGGATCCTATCCGAGGCTTTTGCTTTGGTCTTCACTGGGCTTCTTTTTTTACGAGGCGGGTTCCAAACCCTGCGCTCAACCGTTTAACGTCCGGGTGACATCGCTGCACACATTAGCTCACTATCTAGCGGATGCTAAGATAGCTACCCAGGAGGTGCCACGAGGAGGCTGTGTGTCAACTTGCAATCATTCGAAAACAGAGATCGCACTGGCGGCCACCAAGTTGACCGCGATCAGAAAACTTTACTCTGTACGAATGAAAGCCATCCCATCCCATTTTTCGTTAATTATTTATCTATAATTATAATCTCTCTATCGTGAGGTAATTTTTTAATGGCTCTGAATTATTTTAAAAATTTGTCGGCTTATGTATATATGTAGTTGCATTATATTGAAGACATTAAATATGAAGACATTAAACGTAAATCTTTTGACTGTTTTTTACAGGTATTAATAACTTGGCAGGCACCCCCTCGCGAAACTTGGAACGGAGATTTACTTGGTTACACAATTACCTATCAACGAAATAATTCTTATAATAACTTTGTAAATCAAACTAAAGTTAACATATTACGCGCAGATAGCTTTAATGATTTTCGACTAGTAGGATTGGAAAAATATACACAGTACGCAATTAAAATATCAGCCTTTAACTTTAAAGGAGATGGACCATCAAGCAAAGCTACTTTTGTTCAAACATTGGAAGATTCTCCTTCGGGAAGTCCTCAGTTAGTAACATGTCTTGCCCTAACTGCACAAAATATTGAAGTATCTTGGCAGCCCCCACCAAAAGAATTATGCAATGGAATAATACAAGGCTTTAAGCTATTTTATGAGCCATTATACTCAGAGAGTATATATAACACTCGCGAAACTAAAATAACGTCAGCACTCAGTACTGTGCTTCATGGTCTTCAACCCTTTACTAATTATAGCGTTCAAGTTTTGGCATTTACAAGGGCTGGGGAAGGAGCTTTAAGTTCTGCATCAATGTGCATCACTGATGAGGCCGTCCCGGATGCGCCAAAAGGTGTTAAGTCCACTGTAAGCTCTGAAACATCAGTGATTATTAGCTGGCTTCCTCCTCGACGTCCAAACGGGGTTATAACCAATTTCAATGTTTACATAAGAGTGATTGAAAAAGGAAAAGAACTCAAAATACTTAAGGAATCTCTTCATGCACAACAAAGTCATTTTGAAGTTAAACAGTTAAGTATAAAAGAATCTTATGAAGCCTGGGTGACAGCATCTACAAGAGTTGGCCAGGGACCCAGTACGCCTGTAATTAAACTAATACCAAGTGCATTAATACCAGCAGCAATAGTTTCATTTAGTCAAACTCTCAATGTAGCTTGGAGAGTAGACATTAAATTAGCTTGCCTTTTTGTTGGGTTTCCAAAAGCAACAGCAGAGTGGAAGGTCTTAAATAGTCGACTGAAGAAAAATTTACGAATGGAAGTAAGCAATGATAATACACTAAGTTTTCAAAACATTCAACGAGAATATGAAGGAAATTATACTTGTTTGGTTAAAAATCCAATTGGAAACGATCATATCACATATCAGCTATTTGTTCAAGGTAAATACAAATCCCATAATATATATGTATTTACTGTCTAAAGATATTCTTATTTTTTTAGTGCCACCTTCTGTTCCAATACTTATCATTTATTCTGTCCAAAAGAATTCAATATCAATACAATGGAAAGTGGATGATACAGGTGGTACTTCAATACAAGGCTTTACGTTAAAGTTCAGACGGGAATCATCAGAGTGGAATGAATTATTATTAGATCGCACCCTCTACTCTTATTTGCTAGAAAATCTTGAGTGCGGAACAGGTTACCAACTTACAATGAACTCTTTTAATAAAATTGGCATAAGTTCTATAAGCGAAATTCAAACAATAAAAACAAAAGGTATGATTATTGACAGGAAGAAAAATTGAAAATTACTTGAATTAAATTTCTTTATTAAGGCGAAAAACCAGTTCCACCATCGAAAGACAATTTTATTCATTTAAATGTAACATCGGTTTCATTGGACTTATCTTCTTGGCAAGACGGTGGTTGCTTGATAATATATTACAGCATCGAATTTAGAATTCATGGCCCTGAAAACGAATGGATTATCGTCTCAAATAAAGTCGAGTCTAATGTAAGGTATATTTTTATTAACCCTTTACATTAATTCTAAGCACTTTTCTTATTATTAGGCATGGTATATAATTGGAGACTTAGATCCAGGAACTTCCTACAATCTACGAGTGACGGCCTACAATAATGTTGGATCAAGCAACAAAGAATTTTATTTTGAAACGTTAAGATTAATGGAAAAGAAATATAAAGTCAGTCATGAGGACCTGCCCAGCTTTGAGACCGTTATCAACGATTCTCATCTTATTGCTGTTATTGCGACTTCAATTTTTGGAACAATTCTTGTTTTGATTGGAGCATCAATATGCTTTAATAAGTGTACGTAAATTTGTTAATAAGGGCAAAAACTGTGAACAGTTACGATCCACGGCATCCTGAAAGATAATAACTTTTATTTATTGGCAAACGAATTGTCATAATAGTAAATATACAGCTGCAATCAGAAAATGATTAATCTTTAAACCGTTCTTTGAATCATTTTTTAGATATTGAATTTTATTGCGATTAAAGTCATTATAATATAAAGGCTTCCTTTTAAACCAAAGGATCAAGTGCCCTTGTTCTAAGAAAACTGAACAGCCGAACAGGCCCCTGGCCATTAACTTAAATAATTTCGGGAAGAAAGTCGACTTACTAAGGTGCCCGAAATAAGTATGTAGGACACCTAATTTTTTTGTTTAACAAAATAACGCTTGAAAATTTTTCAAAAAAACAAATTTGTAATTATTCTTTATTAAATATGTAACACTTTTCAAGTTTTAGAAATAAAATTAAACTTCACAAAATATTATAGAAAATGTTTGGTCCAGCCCAAACAACTTAAATAACATCGCTTTTGTTTTCGTAACATCATAACTAAAAACTTTTGTAAACTGCCCTGCGAGGCAAACTCTCTTAAATTCGCTTGCCCTGCGAGGCAATTCTCTTAATCATCGCTTGTTCTTCGCTTATCATTTATCACTTCTTACTTTTTCGTTAAGCTCATGCAGCTGCATTGCATTGGCATTGCCAAAAATAGTCATCATCAGTCGTTGTTAGCCAACAGTCGTTAATAGTTGTCGTCGTTATCAAGATCGTTGCTAGATCGTTGCATTTAACGCTCAAACCAATTCGGGTTTGTCTGCGCATAATTTCGTATTATTTTGTCGCCGCCCTTGTGCCGCTAAATAAACTCTATTGTACTTAATAAACATAAGTGAAATAATTGAAACAAACTTGTTATAATTTACGTTGGAGCTAATTAAATACACCTTTATAAACCTAAAATAAATCTTTGTGTTATCTTGCCAAAAAATAGTTAGTGAAAAAGCTCGCTAACTCAACATTTTGGAGGCCCCGGCGAGATAATCACAAACATTCGAAGTGATTTAATTATAAATTAATACAAGCATATTGGTGTAATTCGAAGGTCGTTGGCCGTGTGACATTTTGCCCTCTATGCAAGTCTCGCTTGCGGTATTATCGCGTGTTCTTTTTCTCCTTTTGTGCTACGTTCGTTTGGTTGAATACAGGGTGTCTTGCCTTGAGTGAAACATGTCGGTCGAAGACAAAACCCTTTCGCCCCAAACTCAAGCTACCTTTTTTAAGCTTAAAGCCGAATCAATTTGGCAACGAGCCGAAACAATAAATAAGCAATTAACAGTGGAAATGCTTAGAGGCATGTGTGACAATGATCTTAGTGTGCGAGAAGGCCTTGTGAACAAATTGAGTGATTGTTTTTGCCTGGCTCATGACAACTTAGAAAAGGAAGACTATAATGAAATCGGTAGCCAATTACGCGATAATTTCGAAGAACTTATAGCCACCCTAAAGGTTTTTCGTCTCATTCGATTTTCGTAACTCAAAAATCTCGATTGCCGGATCTTAAACTCCCAACATTTAGTGGCGGCTACACTCAATGGGCCGATTTTCATGCTATGTTTTCGACGATCATCGACAAGGATCCTAGCCTCTCGAACATCGAAAAACTGCAGAATCTGCGCTCCTGCCTCAAGGATGCGGCCCTCGACACCAACAAATCATTGGAAATCTCTGACAGCAACTACCGTATCGCTGTTGATGTATTAAATAACAGATTTAATAATAAACGCATTGTTTTTCAGGCACATGTTGCACAAATCTTTGGCCTAAAGACGATCGAAGCTGGGTCAGTTGGCAAGTTAAGAGAACTTTCTGATAGGCTTATCAGTCACATGCGGGCTCTTCAAGCATTGGGCGATCAAGAGCAAATTGCAAATTGCTTCATTGTTCAAGCCTTGGTGCAAAAGCTGGATCCACCTACCCAAGCCAAGTGGGAGGAGACGTGCTCGGTTGATAAAATACCATCGTGGGAGGAGTTTTCGAAGTTCCTGGAAAGACGTTGCCAGACGCTAGAGAATGTGGAGCTTGCCATGGCTACCCATTCTTCCAGCCACTCATCTGGAAGGCACAATCGTTCGAACAAGGCCCTACTAGCTGCCAGTCCATCACGATGCCGATTCTGCAGCGATAGTGGCCACTCCATATATACATGCACGAGATTTGGAAATCTTTCTCCAGCACTAAGGCTGAAGGAAGTAAAGAAGATGTCGCTGTGCATAAATTGCCTTAAAGACGGGCACCAATTGCGCTCGTGCAATTCTAGCGGCTGCAGGAAATGTGGATCCAAGCATCACACATTGCTTCATTTCGGAGACGCACCATTTCCAACGTCATCTGCAATGCCATCGCCAGCTCAGCCTGCGCCGGCCCCAGCTAATACAGCTCAAGGTTCTTCCAATCAGTACTCACTGGCTTGCACGCTGCCCTCTGACTCAGCTTCTTCCTCTTTCGAAGGACCTCAAGTTTGCAACTTTGTGCTCTTGGCAACTGCTAATGTTTTTATTAAAAACAGAGCTGGTAGTCTAATACCTTGTCGTGCCATACTCGACTCAGGTTCGCAAGTGCACATTGTAACATCAAGATTCGTACACCTTCTTGAGCTCAAAAGGATTAAATCTGCTGCAGCTGTATCTGGTCTTGGAGATTCTAGCTTCAAAACTACAGGATATGCTGTCCAGCTGAGTTTATCATCCAACTCTTCCAATTACTCTGCAAGTATTGAAGCCGTGGTTGCATCCTCCATTGTCAACGATCAGCCTGACTTCAATTTCGACTCATCGCCATGGAATATCCCATCAAATCTACCGTTGGCTGACCCGGAATTCAACAAATCGAAGAGGATTGACCTTCTCATAGGAGCAAGTTTGTTCTATGATTTGTTATGTATCGGACAAATCAAGCTTGGCCCCCACCTTCCCACTCTGCAGAAAACTCGACTTGGATGGGTTGTCTCTGGTGGCACGGCACAAACTTGCCACACTCTCGTTGCCTCTCAATCTATTTCGGATAAAATGCCAGAGCCTGAAGATCGACTTGATGATCTTCTGCAGCGATTTTGGGAATTAGAATCCTGTCCTTTGGAAAGCTCGAAATTCACCAAAGAAGAAACGGAATGCGAAGACCATTTCCAAAACACCTTCGTTCGGCTACCCAATGGTGAATACGAAGTTCAGCTACCGAAAACTGGAAAAATCGATGGACTTGGAGAGTCATACCAGCAAGCATTTCGCCGTTTCCTCAGCTTGGAGCGAAAGCTGGAACGCCGTCCTGATGTCAAGGAACAATACTCTAACTTCATAAAGGAGTATCTGGAACTCAATCATATGTCGCTTGTGCCACCAGATGATAGAAGGCACTGCAGATTTTTCCTTCCGCATCATTGCGTCTTTAAAGAGGATAGGACGACCACCAAACTGCGTGTCGTATTTGATGGATCAGCAGCTTCATCATCTGGAATCTCGTTGAATGACACGTTGATGGCAGGACCTACCATACAGGCTAAGCTCTTCAATATTCTAATCCGTTTTCGTACTTTTGCAGTTGCTCTCACTGGAGACATTGGGAAAATGTATCGCTGTGTTCGAATAGCCAAGTCAGACAGCTATTTGCAATGCATTCTTTGGCGCGATTCTGATAAGGATCATCAGCATCTACAAGTTGGATACCGTAACATACGGTACCAAACCCGCCGCATTTCTATCAGTTCGAGCGTTGCATCAGTTGGCCATGGATGAGCAGTTGAAATACCCTGTAGGATCTCAAATCGTCAGACGTGATTTTTATGTTGATGACTTGATCACCGGAGGCAGTTCCATTGAAGAAGTCGAGGAGATTCTTCATCAAACAAAGGACCTGCTAGCGAAAGGCCACTTCATGCTTCGAAAGTGGTGCTCTAATATACCAGTCGTTCTCGAAAATGTTTTTAGAAGAGGAGAACGAATCATTTCTGAAGTTTCACGATGGAAGCGACATAACCAAAACTCTCGGATTGGCTTGGGATCCTGCATCAGATGTCCTTCTTTTCTCGTACTTGCCTACGCAGTCCACGACCAAGCCAAACAAACGTTCTGTGCTCTCAACAATATCTCGATTTTATGACCCGCTTGGCCTCATAAGCCCGGTTATAACCAAAGCCAAAATCTTCCTACAGGAGCTCTGGAAGGAGAAGCTACACTGGGATGAAAGCTTGCCCGAATCTTTAAGCTCAACCTGGTCCAGTATATGCCTTCAGTTTCGCAGCGTGGAAAGGACGACATTTCTCAAATTCGCACTACTACCAAAAGGATCAATCGAGATTCATGGGTTTTGCGATGCTAGCATGTCTGCCTATGGAGCATGCGTATATATCGTATCCAGATCTGCTGACAAAGCCTATGCTCAACTATTGTGCGCCAAGTCTCGAGTAGCACCCTTAAAAACTTTGTCGATTCCGAAGCTTGAACTGTGCGGAGCTCTTCTGTTGGCCAATCTTCTAAGCGAGCTTCAAAAAATGGATATATTTTCAGGTCCATACTTCTGCTGGTGCGATTCAACCGTAGTCCTAGCTTGGCTAAATAGTGAGTCATCCCGATTCACGACTTTCGTTGCTAACAGAGTAGCATCCATTCAAAGACTGTCTGCCGGAATGGAATGGCTTCACATACCTACTACACTAAATCCTGCTGATATCATATCCAGAGGAGCCTTGCCCATGGAATTGAACGCGTCCGATCTCTGGTTTCATGGACCTTCGTTCTTGCTGCTACCGCGATCCAGCTGGCCGCCATCCCCTGCCCAAGAGCAGTGCTTACTGGAGCTGCGCAAGGCAACGTGTTTGGTTTTGACGTCACCGATTGATCTGACATCTACGTGCAAGTTTGAAAATTCATTTCCTGCTATGCAGCGAATTTTCGCATACATATACAAATTCTTGTTTCGACTTAGATCACCCACTCTGACTGTTTCAGATCTACAGAATGGTACACGCCTCCTAGTTCGAGCGGCGCTCGCTGTGGACCATGTGGACTGACTTAAAAGCAATTCAGGCCAACCATGTCCTGAAGTCATCAAATTGCCTGTCATCGCTGTCCCCATTTGTTGACGATTTTGGTCTTCTACGAGTCGGAGGTAGACTATCGAACTCAAGCCTGCCCTTTGACTCACGACATCCAATGATCCTGCCCAGGAAGCACCCAATTACTTCGGCTATCATCAAGCACTTCCACGAAGAAAGTCTTCATGCAGGACCTCGGACGTTACTGGCCAGAATCAGACTCCACTATTGGCCCATCGGGGGGAGAAGAACAGTCGCTGCTGTGGTCACCAGGTGCATTCGCTGCTGTCGTGCTCGGCCACGTACACTTCAGCATGTTATGGCAGACTTGCCAAAGGATCGCGTGGATTCTTGCAAGGCCTTCACTATCACTGGAGTGGACTACTGCGGCCCATTCATGTATAAGCCTGAAGGACGAAAACGCCAGCCGTTGAAATGCTACATATGCATTTTTATATGTTTTGCAACCAAAGCAGTTCACATGGAACTAGTGGCTGATTTATCCACACCAACATTTTTGGCAGCCCTCAGACGCTTTATTGCAACAAGAGGTCGTCCCAAATGCATTTGGTCTGATAATGCTACCAACTTCACCGGAGCCAAGAACGAGCTTGCCGAACTTCGTCGTTTATTCCTAGCTGAGGACCATTTGAAGGCAATCGAGAGCTTCTGTCTAGCAGACACCATCGAATGGAAATTCATTCCACCCAGATCGCCTCACTTTGGAGGCCTTTGGGAGGCCTCAGTTAAGACAGCCAAGCATCATCTTTATCGCACTATTTCGCAATCCACACTTGGATTTGATGAGTTGCGCACCATCATTTGCATGATCTCGGCTATCATCAACTCTAGACCGCTTCTGCCCCTATAAGAGGATCCAGCAGACCTTGATGTCCTGACTCCGGCACATTTTTTAACTGGCGGTCCTGCTACCAGCTTCAGCGAACCAGATCTCTCTAACCTAAATGTCAACCGACTTGATCGTTGGCAGAAAATTTTTCATGCTCGCAAATCAATGCCACGATCAGAGAATGCTCTTGCGGTAGTCTGCGCCATCAGAGGCATCCCAATGGACTCAAATGCCCCATCACCAAGTGGTACATTGCAAAAATATAAAAAATTGGTTTCTTTTTTAATTTTACTTAATTAAAGCATGTTTTTAAACCTGTATCAAATTGATACATAGGAGCTAATATGTTACAGATTTTAAGGGACGGATGCGGGTTAAATAGTGCATCCTTTGTTGTCTAATACCTTAAGAATTCGACCTGGCATTGAATTAATTAAGTTTTTCAGTATTTCTATGTCGATTTTCTCCCATTCATGTTTGATAGTTTCTTTTAATACTTTAAGACTACTGAATTGTTTCCCATTAGCATAAACCATTTGGGATAATATGCCCCAAAGATTTTCAATTGGATTTAAGTCCGGGCTGCGAGCTGGCCATTCCAAAATTGGGATTTGCGATGATGAAAAGAAGCTCCTTGTATGCTTTGCAAAGTGGATAGGTGCATTATCCTGTTGAAAAGTCCATTCTTCACCAAAAAAAACTCTCCAAATTGGACTAGAAGATTTCTACATATGTTTGTGCATTCATTTCATGAGATATAAAGCACATAGGAGCCTTTCCATTATATCCAAAGGCAGCCCATACCATGAGAGACCCACCGTGAAAGTTCCTGGAGACGTGGACTTTTTTGGGACTTCTTATATCGCGATAATAATAACGATAGCCATCAGGGCCATCTAAATTACATTTTTCTTATCGCTAAATATAACATTTTACCACTCTACATCCCAGAATTTGTATTGATTAGCAAACTGCAATCGGGCCACTTTGTGCCTGGGCACAACCTGAACTACTGGTTTAAGCATTTTTTTTCATATGAAACATTTTCAGATCCTTTTAAAATTTGTTGGACTCGATGAGTGGATACTGGAAGAGACAAATTACATCGTATTTGGGATGCACTGATGTTTTCATTAATTGCCAGAAATTTAATTCGTCGCTTGTCTCGCTCGTCACATAGGCGGGGCGCCCAGAACGAGGTTTTCTACCATGATTTTCTGGGTCCTTTAAAAGGTTTTCCACCGTCCTCTTACTCCTCTAACATTCTTTAGCAATTTTGCGTATTGAAATCCCCATTTCTCGGAGTGCCAATATTCATGCCCGCTCTACATCGCTCAAATGAATAAAAGTTGACATATCTGAACAACAAATGTTATGTAGAACCTTATAAAAAATATTTTTTTTACGAAATTCACTAAATTCATTTATTTGTAACTGTTAGCAATCACTGCAATTGAAATAATTTAATTCGATGTCATCAGCTTTACTAAAACGAACACAAAGTGATCTGTCCCACTTACTTATTTCGTTCACAAAAGCAAAGTTCACCAGATAAAAACGAACCTGACGGGATAATCGTACGGTCCTTTTTTATGTTCTCATTGCTAATGTCTCACAAATTTTTCAACCAACAATTAGTAGAAGAAAAAAAATCCGGGAATTGGATTTTGTGGACAAAAAAGTCATTAACATGAATGTCCTACTTACTTATTTCGTACACCTTACAGCAGTCGAGTTTTTCTTAGCTCTTCAGCATACCCATAATTAACATTTAATTTACAAACACAAAACTTTGCCAAAACAACTAATACTCATAAGGATCCTCGTCATAATAAGTGATATAACGCCTGAAGGCAATATTGCATTTCTTAAAGTGTTATAGTATACAGTAGAATCGCGCTTAAAAAAAAATAAAAAAAATTTTATTTCACAAGAAAGGAAGATGAAGCTGTCTCCTTACTTTAAATTTATAGTCAAAGTTTATTTTTATCTATCAATAAAAGCAGTCTGTCAATACGTGCTTCTTTAATTTTTCTGTGCAGCTCACCTCTCACAATTTAATGAAAGCTGATAAGTACTGTATTACGGGGGGACTAACAAAAGTTCGCTTAATAGAGTAGAAAATTTTTCTTTTAATTTTATATCTTTATTAATTATCTCTTTGTATTTTTTCAACGTAATCGCCATTTATTTCGATACATTTTTAAGTCGATAATACTCTTCCTCGTAAATTTTTTTTTTTAAATAACCGGAAGTCGCGAGGTGCTAGATCTGGGGAATAAGGTGCTGGTCGAATTTCTTCGATGCCTGACAGCGCGATAAAGTTACTTGTTTTTTCAGCAGTGTGCGCTGGCACATTGTCATAATGCAAAAAGTATCGGCGAAGTTCCTTTTTGGATTACTTCAGGTAAGCAAGTTTCAGTATACCACTTGGCAGTTACCTTCTGACCTTTTTCCAAAGGAATAGCAGCTACTTTCTTTCTGGTGTAATAGGATAAGTCTTTGTATTAAAACACACTGCAGTTATTAAGAGTTAAGAGTTGGAGCAGCTAGGTCCTGCTCCAGGAACATCCGATTTTACTCTGCTCTTGGGCATATGTCCAAAGTATAGACATGCCCTCGGCTGCGCAGCTGCGCTGTCGGAGACGCCGGCAGCGGAGCAGCCGTCGCTTATGTATTATTATATACACTGCGTATTTGGCAAGCGCGCAGTGTATAGCGTGAGAGAGTATTATGCTTACATATGATCAGCTCAGTCGCGCATGCTAGGCATGCGGACTGGGCACTTGGGTTGCGCATGTCAAACCTGCAGACTAAGCACTTTGGGCTCCCGTGGCATTCCTGTGTGAGTTGGATAAGCTCTGCACATTTGACTTATGTATTACCTCGCAACATTGTAATTGAATTTATGTAGCTGATACAGAGGGTACCCAATATGTGAGCATACTACACTGGTGAAGTAAATTGACATCATTACTTTTGTTGCTGACTTTTGTTGCTTTGCTTTAACGGGTGGATTCGCACCTTCTGGGCTCCATACCATGCTTTGTTGTTTGGTTTCAGGGTCGTACTTGTAAAACCAGGTTTTTTTCTGAAAAGTGGAAAAAATATTGAGCAAAAAGCACACGTGCCTCTTTTTGAGCTTCAGTAAAAATTTAAGGGATCCATCTTGCAGATTTTTTCGTGTGTCCAAGATCATTTTTTAATATTGGAGATAAAGCCATGGCATTCAAGCCCAGTTCTAGACTTCACCAGCGCTACATTAACATCGTCAGTTGCAAATTTTGGACGGCCTTCTCGATATTCGTCCCCCACAGAAAAATGTCCTGTGTGAAATCTCCGGAACCATTTAGAAACAGTCACAAGGGATGGCGCATGCACTCCAAATGCAGTTTGGCACTCACTAAATATTTCCACAGGCTTGAGCTTACGCCGAAATCCAAAAAGAATATAAAACGGAATTTCTTGCTGCGTTGGTAATTTTCTGAAAATAAGAGTGATATATCATAAGATTATTATAAACAGTATGTAATTTTTTATTTATAAAAAAATTATAATGTGGCAGCAACTAAGCGAACATTTGTTAGTCCCCCGTAACTCTTAGTTAGTTAAGAGGCATAATTTGCAGAAACATTTTTTTAAAATGTTAGCTAAAATACTAATAATATCGGGTCTATTGATCAATGATCATTGAATGCAAATATAAAAATGATTTATTTAAATTTAAAAATGCACAATAGGGAATGGTTAAGTCAGAGCCAAGACTATTGTAATATCTTAGATTCCTGCATTGACTTAGTTGCCTGCATTGATTTATGTGCCTGCATTGGGAAAGATTTTGTTGCAGGATATTGAGGCAGAAATGCACTTAACGAACTGCCTTTTTTACTGTTTTGCTCGGTAAATGTGAGGCGCGGCTAGCTCTGCTGACAGAAAACAACACTCATTATATTCGGGTTTGGGCTTTCGTATATATGTCAGATCTCCGCGTCGATGTTCATGATTCCCGCGTCGACTCCTGTGGTGGCAGGCCGACCTTGAGTCCTCTGCCTTACCGAGTCCTCTGGGTACCGGTCGTGTACTTGACTCGCTACTGGCCCTTCTCGAGTTGGGAATGTTAGGCGGGACCTCTTTGGCGGGGCTAAGCTAGCGATGTTGCAGTCACCACTTTTTACTCCTTATCCGGAGTTTGGCCTGGATCTTCGTCGGCCCGGCAACTAGCAGATCCCCACTCTCATGAGAACAACTTCGTAGTTTCCCAGACTCGTAGATGCGCCCTACACCTTACCTTGGATCCTTCGGATCTCAGCTTGACAATCTCAGCTTATTTTGACGTGACCGTCGTTGGACTTCTCGACTTGGCGATCTCGGTCCGGATGACAGTGGCACTTGGTTATCACTTGGTTTCCACTAGCGCTAATACTTGCATTCGTTAGACTTTCATTTGACTGTCTGTCCGCGTACGTGCGTTCTGCTTTTATACGCCGTCTCGGTCCCGTTATCCTCTCCAGCCGACTCACGTGATCGGGTCCAGAGTGCACCGAGGTACCGTTAATTCACAGTGTCTTCTCTTTGCGCGGGTCCGAAGTCTACGGATTTATCGTTATATCGGCTCCAAGGCCAGCGGATTCACCGTTTGACCCCGATACACTTTCCAAGGAAAGGAGTCCAGGTCCAGAGCGGTACCGTTATTTCCTTCTTCTGTACGCTCTTCCGAATGCCGGTTCTCCCCTTGTTGCTCTGCAGAGTTTCCCCTGTACCTGTCTTTGTGGGGAGCTTTAAAAATCTACACATCTCCTTCTTCATTCGGAAACTATTAAATCCTTGGCTCCGGAATGTCCATACACTTTTTCAGTTCGACATCCGTCCAGACCGTCCTTCCTCTCGTATCCTGGTTCGTCGACTCCTCCAAGCTAAGGCTAAGAGCTTCTTGGAGCGCAGCTGTAGGCCTCAGCTTATTTAACCCTGTTGGTTGTTCGGCATCTTGACTTTGGCGTCTTGATCATTGAAAACTCTCCGCG